ATCTGGGCTCCTGGGAGCTGGCCTCGCAGATAGTGGCCTCGGCGATGGACTTCTTCCCCTGGATGCTTGTGCATGTCTCCAAGGAGGTAACTTGCGACGAAAACTTGGTGATCTTCTGCGCCTTGCGGGTGGCGACGGTGGCGTCGGCAATCTCCGTCGACGCAATGGACTCCTTGATCTCCTTCCGGTCTCGGCCATCCTTTTGATCTCAACCTGTTCTGTCCTAAGATGCCCAACATCTGTTGCAAGCCCTTGTACCAAACGTCGAATCTCATCAAGTTGATCTGATGTAGGATGTCCTGCAGTGGGGTGATCTGATGTAGGATGAGATGAATGTCCACCTGAAACATCATCGGCTGGAGCATCGCGCACGTCACGGCTTGAAGCCACATTGCCTCGTGATCGTGCCAACCTTGACATGTTCGGGATCAAATGTCGAATTTGTCCCAAGCTCGCAGCCATGTCCTTACATCCATGACAAACTCCACCACAACGCATCTCTCCCCACATCCAAGATGATGCATGAATGAGAACAACGTCATAACCAAGGACCTTGAGACACCTGTAGGCAGCAAATCCCTGTCCCACTGACCTGTGGCGACCTGACTTGCACTCCAAGTCCACCAGCACCTTACTGTCGGCTTCCTGCTGTGTGACGAACTGGAGGATGTTGTTGAGATGTTGGATGAACTTGTCCACCTTGCTCATAGTCTCAAGGATTCCATGATGCCAGCCCACATGCGACCTAAGGTTAACGTCCTGATCAGGATCGTTAATGTCCTCACAGTTGATGCTCAAAGTGCTCCTGCTGGTTCTGCACGCATGTTGTTGAAATCTACGTCCACGAGTCATGATGATCACCTTCCTGTCACTGCGCAGCTCTTCGTTCAACTTCGTCTGCAAGATGTCATAGTCCCTCGAATGGAAACCACACATGTCATGGTCAGCCATGGCAACTTCCGATGTGGATGCTGTGTATGCGATATTGTACTTTCTGTGACACTTCGGGATTTGGGGAAGTTCATTCGACGGTGTGTTGATGATGTTGGTCAACCCTTCAGTCAAGTTCATCACAAGTAAACCTGATTTTGAACACCTCTTGATATTCAATGGTTGATCTTTGATGGAAATCACTCCTTTTGCTAGGTCCTTCACTAGGCCTAACTTGGTTTGCGCATGCAATGACAGAAGCAATGGACTGTTGCCTGTCGACAATTGATATGAATCCAACTCCCCATGCATGTTCCCGTCTGGAAGCAGCAGCGAAAAAGGAATAGATCTCACACCTTCGGTCTTGGTACTACCACTTCCCAGACCAGCGAAACTCTTACAACCGTCATCCTTCAATGGCATGCTGTAACCCAATCGGGCCAGTCGTGCTTCTGCATCGACTGCCCAGGCTTTGCTATGACAAGTGCTGTTGCAACCTTCATCCAACACTGCAAAAACATGGGGTGACTTGGCAATGTCAACAGTTTCATAGTTCATGTAAACCAAGTCTTGAGGGTATTGACTGTCACTTCCATGCAAACAAATGCCAACGTACCCAGCTAACTCCCTGCCCGAGGGGTCGCCGTGCCCATCTTCATTGACAAGAGAAAAACTGTCCTCTTCCTCTGTCACGTCATTGATGGCTTGATGGAGTAGTTCATGTAGACGTGCACGGGTCATGACCTCAGATTGACAGGTTTCGGTAACAAGAGTGGCAAACAGGGGCAACAATTCTTCCAACTGGACTGGATTCAATCCATCCGATTCTTCAACCAATGATTCAACAATGGGGACTGCTCGAACTGATGCTGTTTCAACCTTCTTTGCAATGGCAACTCGCTCCTTACGAATCTGCATAGGAGCTTCATCAATGAAAGTGCAACACTTCTTGCAGAAGGTACGGTGTGTTGATTTGCTGGATCCCCTAAAATCGGTGTCATCATGAGGGCAATTCTCAGGGGACATCAACGGTACCATGTCACGCCTTGTTGTTTCGGAATGACCGCACACAAGACAGGTCTTCCTGATGGTGTACCCCGTAGAACCTTGTTTTGTAAACTCACGACATTCCTGACACTTGTTCGGCAAAGGAGGATTTGGGGGTTTCTTTCTGCCAGTTCCCCGAGCCACCAACAAATCTCGGTGCTCGACATGCTCAACAGGGACTTCGCGCAAGTGAATCCCATCAGCACCAACCACAAAGTATTTGTCAACCCAATTCAACCATGTGACATAGTATGGACTCTTGGGGGTATGTTTCTTGGCATGATGATAGTACCCTGTCTGTTCAAACAACACATTCCAAAACGACAAACCCTTGAACTGTCCAACAGGAAAGATGCACCCATGGTCCTCGGGTCTCATTGCAACATCGAGATCCCGGGAAATCAAGCCAACGTTGCTGCTGGATGCTGCTGCACGTGAAGGTCGACTGCTGGGCTTCGCTTGTCGAACTGCCATCATAGCAACTGCATCTCTGTCACGGTCAGGCGAAGCTGTCAAAGTCACACCATCATCATCTGAAGAATCGCTCATGTCGGCAAAGTGAGCTGCGGGCTTTGGGGCTGACTTTCCAGGGGCTCCGGCTTTCGACCCCGGGAATTTACATTCCGGGTCACCGGCCCAGTGCCCTATGACTCCGCACCTCAAACATTTGCTCTTCGACTTCAGCTCTGTGAGCTTACGTCTCCTCTGATCGATAGTGAGGTTGGACTTCACGATCTTTCCTTTGCCTTTTCCTTTGGGCTTCCCGAAGGATTTTCCCTTGCCACCTGCTTTCCCCATTGCAGTGAAAGCAGCAAGTTGTAGCTGGATGGCGTCTCCTGCTTGTCGATCGTCTTCTGCACCTTCAACTTCAAGCAAGCTGTTCAATGCAACTGCTTCGTACTCATCGACGTCGTCAAAGTAATCAAATTCGTTGTCACCTTCTAGGTTTCCTGGCTCCTCTTCTGCAATGTCACCAAGCATGCCAACATATGAATCATCCTCCCAGGATTGATCCACAGCTTCATCCCAAGATTCTGCATGTTCCTCCCCATCATCGGGGTAGGCTGCATAGGCTGCTTGGGAATACGATCCCTTCGAAGAAGGTTTGCCTTTGCCATAACCCTTGCCTGACGACTTGCCATGCTGTTGAGGATTACCACGTCCTGTCCAGGATCGTGACCCTTCTCGCAAGTGAGTGCCACTGTAGTTCTCGATCAGCACCTTGCCAACACCTTCAAAATCCTTAGTGTCTGCACAGGCCTTCACAACGAGGATCTCCTGTCGATTGAGCCCACTCAACTCCAACATCAACTCTGTCCTCAAGCTGTCCGAAAACACCATTGTGTCATCCAACTCGCAAAGCATGTGCCACCAACGTCGTCTCCTCTGAACATAGGAAAGCATGGGTTCGCCTGGCTGGCGAGACAAAGGTCCACCTTGTTTCTGTCCTGCACGAAAAAGTTCCTTTGCTTCCTCACGGGCTCTTGGAAACACATGGGATTTGATCTCACCCACAAGTTTCACAAGGCCACCAGGTTTGGACAACACTTCAAGTCCAAGATCCCTAGCTATTGAGAAAGCATCTCCTCTCAGTCCTTCAATCACCTTGTTAACCAATGGTCCACGATCAATGTCTGTCTTCTGCTTGCCGGACTTCGAGGATTTTCGGCTCGCTCCAGACTTCGGAGTCGAGACTGCTGATGTAGGCTGGGCTGCTTGAGTAGCACCCGACAAATCTGGAAAAGTAACATACTCATCTGCGTCTTCTGCGGCAGGCTCTGTTGCTGTGGTCCCAACGGGATCCGCAGGCTTACTTGTCTCCTCCTCCAATTGTTGCTCATAAAGACGAATCCGAAGGAGAGTCCTGAACTGCCAATCATGAAAGTTCGCCGCATCACCTGCATAGATGTATGATCCACTCTTCGTCTCAAGTGGTGCCGACGAATGGCGTTCCTGATTGAAACGAAGGCCATTGATCGACATGATGCTCGCTCCGTTCGGAGTCGAACAAGAAGAAAAACGTTAACAAGTGTCTGCCCTGGTCAGGGTCAGACAGATTCCCGAACCACGACACACTCGAAGTTCAGTTGATTCCCAAAGTTACCAGACTCAAATTCACAAAGGGTTCCCTGGGTCACTGACGTACCACCGGATGCAGGTCGTCACCTGCTCCGCTACCAATATGAATTGGAAACGGGATCGTCAAATGCCCAACTTTTACCACGGCAGCGCGGTATGACTCAAGGGCCCTAAAGCCAAATGTCAACGGGGGCATGTGATCACTTGGCTATACAAAATATACATTAGACAGGTCAAACTCACAAAGGTTTTGGTTTACATGAAGTTTGAAAGTTAACATTAAAAAAAAAAACATGCGTGTGAGTTTGCCAGACCCCAGGGAACTCCACAGGATGGTTTCGCGCAGGTTTCGCGCAGTTGGGAACTCCACAGGATGGTTTCGCGCAGGTTTCGCGCAGTTGGGAACTCCACAGGATGGTTTCGCGCAGGTTTCGCGCAGTTGGGAACTTCACAGGATGGTTTCGCGCAGGTTTCGCGCAGTTGGGAACTTCACAGGATGGTTTCGCGTAGTTTAGGCGCAGTTGAAGTTATTTTTTTAAATTATAACATTTTTATGACATGCTTTTTTTAATTAAATGTTTCTTCTTTTTTCAAATAGTATTGGCTCTCTTTCAGTTACCTTAACTATTATTTCTTATTATTTCATTTTATTTTATTTTTCAATATTTTATTTACTTTTAAATTTCTTATTATATTATTTATTATCTTTTTTTCTTTTTTATTTATTGGTCGCTGAAGCAGGGGGGCCTTCTTTCAGGCCTGTCCCCTGGTGAGACAGCCTGAGGTGGTTTGGCTTTCTTTCAAACCTGTTTTTGGTTACTTTTCTTCCTTGTGGCTTTCTCTCAAGCCAAGTTTTTGTGCATGCCAATTTCTTCCCTGTGGCTTTCTTTCAAGCCTCACAGGTCAGAAGCATCCACCTCTTTCTCTCTTTTTTCTTTTCCCTCCTCCTGCCCCTCCTCCTCCTCCTTGACCACTTTCTTCCTTTCCTTTCGCTTCTTGGCTGTTTTCCCCTCCTCCATATCCTTGTCATCTTCCTTCTCCTTCTCCTTGGGCTTCTCTTCCTTTTGGGGCTTCTTCTCCTTCTTTGCAGCTTCCTTTTCCTTGGAAACCTTTTTCTCCTTTCGCTCCTCCTCCTCCTTTGCAGCTTTCTTTTCCTTGTCCTTGGGGTCCTTTTTCTTTGGCTGCTCCTCCTCCTCCTTTTCCTCTTTCTCCTCCTCCTCCTCCTGCCAGTCTGGCTGCTCCTCCTCCACAAATACCTCCTCCTCTTCACTGTATTCATATGAATAAGAAGAGGAGGAGGATCTGCCGGCTTTTTGTTTAGGCCTTCTTTCAGGCCTGCTGCTGCTGCTGTCCTTCCTTTTTGGCCTTCTTTCAGGCCTGCTGCTGCTGCTGTCCTTCCTTTTTGGCCTTCTTTCAGGCCTGGCCCCTGGCCCTTCCTGCAGGACAACCCCTCTGGCAGGGCTGGGGCTCATCTCCTGCTTGCTGAGCCATGCAGCCTTCTCTTCCAAGAAGGCTGCCTTCTCTTCCAGCAACTGCTTTCTTTCAAGCATTAGTTGCTCCTCCTCCTCCTTCACCTCCTTCTCCCTCTCCTTGATCATCCTCCATTTCCTGCTCCCTTCATGCAAAGGCTGAACCTTGTCTTCCTTAAAGCCTTCTTTCAGGCCCTTCTCTTTCCTGGCTTGGACTTCAGGGTCTCTGGCCCTCAAAGCCTTTCTCGCTTCCCTTCCCCTCTTGCCCCTGGCTTCTTGCCTGAAAGTGTCCCAATCCTCCTCCCCTGGTCGATGCTCAGGGACAAAAGCTGGCCTTCTTTCAGGCCTGCTGCTGCTTGCACCTGACCCCTTTTCTTTGGCCTTGGCTTTGCCTTTGCTTTTCCCGTTTTGGCCTTCTTGCAGGCCTTCCCTGGCTGCCTCTGCAGGGCTTGGGCCAAAGAGGCGGCCCTGTGTGCTTCTGGGAGCCTCCTCCTCCTGTCTCCTCTGCCCCCTGCGCAGGGAGTTGTCAGAGGATGATTCCTCCTCCTCATCCCTGTCCCTCCACCTTCTCTCCCTGTCTCTCAGCTCCCTATCAGGCTCCCTTTCCCAGCCAGTCCAGGTGTCGCCATCATCCCAATCCTTTTCATGACCCCAGGGCACATAGCCAGCATAAGCTCGGCCTACCCACCAGGTCATGTGGTTTCAGATGGCCTTCTTACAGGCCTTGAGCTGGAAGATTTGCAAGTGATTGAATTGCTGGGCCTTCTTGCAGGCCTTAAGTTGAAGTGCGCTTAGAGGTTGAAAGGTGCCCCCCCACCTATCTTCGGTTTTGAGGCTCAAAAGGCTGCAGGCAACAAACAGATTGCTTTCGCCTACTATGTTAAACCCTTTTTGGTGAACATAACGCCCCTGGAACACTCAGGTCATAACCTAAGTACAAAAAGAATGACAGTGAAAACGGTGAGGTTTTTCTTTAAATTTCGTTGGCTATCCCCTGCCCCACAAAAACAAACACTTTACCCAAACCCCAAACCACAATTTTTTTTGGCCAAGAAAAAAGTCCTGGCCATGTGCTTTGCACATGGCTGCGGCCTGAACCCTCCTAGTGGCCTTCTTTCAGGCCTTGCCCTGTTAGAAAGGTGTATGCCTTCTTTCAGGCATTCAATCTACATTTTTGACTAAATCGTCTCTTTTTTCTTTCATGTTTTCCTTTGTTATGTCCTCCTCCATGGCCACCTTTTCCAGCTCCAAAATCACAGCGTGATGCCCACCTCGGAAAATCTTTCCCATTCTTTTGGTGCAGCCAATGATGAGCTTCCAATCTCTTCCAAAAAGGCCCATGAGATAGGCTTGGTCCTTGCCCATGACTTTTTTCACTGCTGACCATGGCCTTCTTTCAGGCCTTGGCCCTTCTGCTGCCACCAATGGTTCTGGCTGTGGTGCTGCTTCTTTTTTTGGTCCTTGCTTCTCTGTGGGCCTTCTTTCAGGCCTTAAGCTTTTTGCCTTGGGCAAGGAAGCTGTCTTCGAAGCTGGCTTTTTTTTGCATTCTTTGCTGGCTGGCTTTTTTTGGATTTCTGACCTTCTTTCAAGCCCTGGTCTGCTCTCAACCAACTCTTGGGCTGCCTCTTGTGCAGCTTTATCCAGCTGCTCCTTGCAGCTTACCCTCATTTTTTCCAGAATTGTCATGTTTCTGGAAAAGCAATCTTTCACTTCTTCTTCTTCTTCTTTTGCAGCCTTTGGAGAATTGAGAATGGCTGGCCAGCCATGGGAGTCCACAGAAACATCTGAAACTTGTAGTTTCAAAGTTCTGGCCTTCTTGCAGGCCTGCTCCTCGGGTTCTTTCAAAGAAGCAGAGCTGGAACTTCCTTGGCCACCAGCCTCTGCAGCTTTCGCAGAAGAAGTCTCCTTGGCAGCTTTGGCCTTCTTGCAGGCCTGGTCATCCTCAGGACCTGGGGCTGCTTTCTTGCAAGCATCTGGCAAATCCACAATTTCAAGAATGGATTGCCTTTCAGCCCCTGTAGCTCCCTGCAGGCACTGCCTTAGTTTCGAAGAGTCTCTTTTCAGTCTTCTCACATGGCTGAGCAAGCAGACAAATTGACTTGCAAACTTGCCTGCCCACAGGTCATCCTTCCACTCACTGTCGTT